AAATACTGGACTTACAATATCTGTTCCATATCTTTAAAATATGAAAACGTTTGGTTGTCTTTCAATTGATTTATTACATCAAGCTGAAAATTGCGAAAATCAAGGAGACGTTGTGATCCTCTGCCACTCACTAAGATAAGAAAAGATTATTATTATATCAGGAAAAGTAACTAAAAATTCACAATATTCTCAATATTTTACATCATTCATAGAAGCATTATTTATGTCAATATTGTTGATTGCATATTTCTATAATAGAGTGGTCTTAAACTATAATTAGAAATCAAATTAATTAATAAAAGAATAAAGATTTCTCTACTTAATAATTGATTTTGCATCCCAATACTGATTAATAATAACCTTATTATTTCTTGATCCTTTTCCGTTCTTTATTATGAAAGGATTTTCATCATCGTCTTTGTGTATCCCTATTACTATATCCAACTTATCATAGCTATTTGACTTTGAAGAGCAATGCAGATTAGAAACAAACTTATCACATCATATGGCTAACAAAACAAGAAAAAAATATATTACTGAACAAACCTCATTATGATCATCCAAAGAATTATTCCAACAGTTAGGAAGAGCAGGAGAAACTTTCTCATCTGAACCTGATGGTTCATCTTCTACATATCGTTCTGATGGATAGATCTATAATCCAAAAGATTTATTTTGTATATATTGCCACTTCCAACTTGTATTCTATCACAGGAATAAAATTAATTTTCAGTATTATTTATTACCTCTGCAATATTACGATGTTTCAATCTAGGTAAAGACTTTGTCCAAAAGTTATCTATACGACCCCCTTTCTGGATTCAAGCTGTTATAGATATTGTAAATTACTCTACATATTAATATATTAAAGTCTTAGGCTTGTCACAAGCTGGCTACAGTGAAGACATAGTCTATAACTATACGAAGACGTAGTTCCATGAGTAGCTGTAACTAACAGCGGAGATGTAGTCCATAACTATGCGAAGACGTAGTTCTATGGGTAGCTGTAGTAGTGGAGACGTAGTCTATAACTATGCGAAGACGTAGTTTTATGAGTAGCTACTGAATGTGACAAACCTTCAATTACAGCTTATGAAATTATACTAACCTTGAGTTGATTTTCAAGACGTATCGCATTTTTTATTTCCACTTCTGTTTCATATTCTTTTATTTGCTGTATTTGTTTGTTGAAGCTTCTTATTACAGTCACTTTGTCTAAATCCAAATTGTTATTTTTTTAGAATTCGTGATACTGAAGCATATTTCAATCATTGCACAGAGTGTCCAAGAAATAGTCAAAGCCTAATCTATAATCTTTAATATCAGATAACATAATGTAATGTTTTCACAGGTGAAAGATTCAGTTTTCAAGATTCTCCTTTTATACAGTTGTTACGAAAAAAACGTGTTGCTTGCCAATGCGACTTAGATGCTAAGAGCCAACAAAAATTTTACAAATATATGACTACTGTGTAACAGCTTTGTAGCATCTATACCAAATTTGTAATATTAGAAATTCGCTATTATTATTATGTAATATGGTAATATGATAATTTAGTTACACAACTGAATTATTGAGTGTTCACAAGGTAGATAAGGTAGACATATGTGTATGTGCTTAGAGTTCCGAATGAGTCGAGTCGAGTCGAGTTTAAAGACCAACTCTATTCGACTCGTTTTTTTCAAGTCGAGTC